GAGATTGAATGTAATATATCCCCCAGGGACCCCTTTTGAAAAAAAAAAAAAAAAAAAAAAAAAAAAAAAAAGCATTGACCAACACAAATTGAAACAATATTGTCTGGTATTAAAGGGGTGGTTAATCCAAAAATGAAAATTACCCCATGATTTACTCGCTGTTAAGACATCCTAGGTGTATGACTTTCTTTCATGTGAATGCAATCGGTTTTATATTTTAAAGTTTTGGCTGTTCTCAGCTTTATAATGGCAGTGAATGGATGATATTCAATTGAAGTCCAATAAACTGCATCCATCCATAAAAATGTGCTCCACAGTTCTGGGGGGTTAATAAAGGGCTCCTGAAGCGAATCCTTATGTAGTTGAGAAATCCATGTTTATAACTTCATAAAATGTGATCTTTAGCTCCCGCTAACTGGTACGTGTGTTCACTAGACAGTGGAGTTCCAGCTGGCATGTACAGTAGCATATGCTTCGGTGAGAATGTTAGTCTCAAAAACCAAGTTTTGTTTAGAGAAGCAAAGGAAAACCAGTCTCCTCTTGGCTTATATCGACATCCTCTGACATTTTTCTTTTCAAATCCTTGTTTTGTACTTCTAAATCGTGACCGGTGTTTTGTTTTGCTCTCTCCTCTGCTCATCTGTGTTCGTTGCCTCTCACTGGAGATTACACTGTGCCTACATCATCTGCTGGAACGCCACTCTCTCATGGACATGCATACGTCAGTTAGTGTAAGCTAAAGGTTATGGTTTATAAAGATTTAAATATGGATATTTCTTTTCCAAATACACATCGATTTGCTTCAGGAGGCCTTTATTAACCCCCTGGAGCCATGTTTCAGTATTAATATCATTACTTTCAGTTTAGGATGATTGACTCATTTTAACTCCAAGACTCAAGATCAACAATTTGTGTTGTATTTTTGATCAAACAATCTGCGTCTCATCTCATCTGAATCAGGATAGAAATATGCACAGATCAAGTACTCTTTACAAGCTAGCGTTATGGATATTTTGGCCAGAAGTAACAGTTTGAAGTTAAAACATCATCTTGATGGATTTGTTTCTTATAAACATGCTTTTCGCTTCACAAGACATTAACTGATGGACTGGAGTGTTGTGGATTACTTGTGGATTATTGTGATGTTTTTATCAGATGTTTGGACTCATTCTGACGGCACCCATTCACTGCAGAGGATCCATTGGTGAGTAAGTGACACAATGCTACATTTCTCCAAATCTGATGAGACAAACTCATCTACATCTTGGATAATCTGAGGCAAATTTTCAGACCATAATGTTCAGAAATCAAGCACTGCTCATGTAAAATCTCTCAGGAACTAATCTGTAAGTCAACCTCTTTTCCTTCTCAGGTAATTGCAACACATGCCAAGTGTATAGTTTCATCACATCAAAACACTGGGAATGATTAGGAATGATTTTGGGTCTTTCCAGCAGCCACTCATTTCTGTCTTCCACCGGTAAGCTAAACGCTACATCACGGTCTGTGTAACTGATGTGTTTAGCAGTGATAAAGATTGTTATCTTCCTCATCCACCTCACAGATGACCCAGCGAGGGGCCAGACACGAGATGATTGTTTGTGGCATTGATGTAACGTCTAGAAGAGCTTCAGTCTGTAATTATGTGAAGTGCTCATGAAGGAGACAGACACGGTGAAGATGAATGTTCCCCGGCGCAAAGTCTGATGAAAAATCGTCTCTGTAAATATAAGCTGTAACCATAAAAGCATTCAGAAACATTCAAACCAAAGATCTGATGAAGCTTCTCCGTATTGATTCGGGAGGTTCTCGCCAGCTCGAGTTTCTCCAGCCTGAGCGTTAAACAATAGCAGCGTTTATGTGGTTAACTCCTGCATAACTCTTGCATCAAATACTGCAGATACTTGCATGACCAATACTTATTTATACTGTAATTTTACTGAGCTTAGTCTTTATTTACTTTCATTGCAGGTCTGGTTCTCATATGGTGCTTAGTAATAGTGATACATACTAATATCTCATTGAAGACACTGGGTTTCTTCAGAATGGCATACCAACTACTGTTTTTTGCAAACGAGAAGTAATCCAGTAATCATATTTTGTGTGAAAAATAAATTGTGGCTATAAAGTAAGTCATAAGTCAAGAAAGAGATATAATTGTGATATATTTCTAGTTTATTCATCAAACTGAAAATGGAAGGATCATGTAGGGAGTATTGTGTTTCCAGTGACAATGCTCGCGCTGTAACCTCACACCGCTCCAGTAACTGTTTCTCCAGCATTAGCATTTTGCATGTCATGTATTTAGCATATATGTGTTTTTAACAATTACAGATTTTTTTTTGTCATTTGTTTGTAGATTTTGAGATCAGGCGTGCAAAAGTTTTCCAAAAGGTAAGCAGCAACCTGATATCATTATTATTGAATATATTTTATATAATTTCTACATTTTTATATAAATATTTATATAAATAAACTGTCAGTTTACAAAACGTGTCATTTAATTTCTATATATATATTTACATATTTCTTTTGGAAATCATATATAATCATCTTTTACATCTTTTTTAAATATATTAAATGTCATCTCATTCCCACATATATTTGTATAATTTAGCTTAATTATTTTTGATATACTGTTTCTTTTTTATTATTATTATGCATCATCATCATCATCCTCATTGTTTTTTGGATATTTTTTTTGTATTTTATTTATTATAATGTTTAATATATTTCATTTAATTTAAATATTTTTTTATTTTTATTTTTTATTTGTTTTAAATATTTTATTATATTTTTGGAATTATTATTATTATCATTATCATATATTATTATTTGTAGTAGTAGTATTTATAATATTATGTAAAACATTTAATGTGTTCCATAATTTATATATTGTCAGTTTACAAAACTTGTCATTTCATTCCAATATATATTTATACAATTTATTTTATTTTATTTTTTATTTATTTATTTATTTTTTTATATATGTTGTTTATTTATTTATTTTTTAATGTTGTTTATTTTTTTATTTTTGTATTTATTATTACTAATAATCATCATTATTTATTTATTTATTTATTTATTTATTTGTTTGTTTGATACTGTCAACTCCAAAACGTTGCTCTCCAGGGTCTGTTTACAGTTTCTAGTGTCCATTTGTCACTCAGTGGAGTTCAGCAGATGGAATGCCGCCCCAGAGTTCAGCCAGGAACCTGTTATCAGTAACGGCCTGATGCATCAATCCATTGTGTCTCGTCAGAGCCTTTACATGACTGGAGGAATGTGTCTGATGAAGAACATGGACACTCTGATGCCGAGGAAGGATCCTGCACAGACGGACAGAGACAGTGCTGCCGTCTGATGAGTTTGAAAATGATTATAAATCTATCATCACAAAACCCACACCAAAACATTCAGAGGTTAATCAGAGTAGAAGAACTTGTTTGTTTAATCTTACATGAAAAAGACGGATATTTTTTTTTCCCTCTAGCATTTTAGTAGTGATGTCACATTGTGCTCAGAATTGAAACCAAGGTCAGCAATCAAAAGCAGAGATAAACACAAACATTTCTAATCGAATTCTTCCAAGATCAAATGATCTGAGCTGCTCCACATTGATTTTTTTAGCTCCCAGCCTAAAAAAAAAAAAAAGGTAAAGAATTAGTCAATAGTTGTCATACAGTAAGAGAGTTGATTATTCAATTTTTTTTTGTGTTTAAGCACAATAACTCATTAATCAGTAACTTATTAATCAACATTTAAAAGATTAGTTATATATATGTTTAGTCTCTCTTCTTTTTCTTATTTATATTTCCCTCTTTCTTTTCTTTTTCTTTTTCTTTTTCATATGTATATGTATTTGTTCCACTACCATGATATACATATAATTTTCATGGTACATAAAAAAACCCCCCAAAAAAACATGGTACTTTTTGTAAGATCTTTATGTTTGTTAAAGCATTATACACTGGGGAAAAAAAAGTTGTAAATAAAGATTATAGGAGTCAATTTTACAAAAGTGTGAAAGTAAAGTGAAAGTGACGTGACATGGCCAAGTATGGTGACCCATACTTGGAATTAGTGCTCTGCATTTATCCCATCCAAAGTGCACACACACAGCAGTGAACACACACACACACCGTGAACACACACCCGGAGCAGTGGGCAACCATTTTTGCTGCGGCGCCCGGGGAGCAGTTGGGGGTTCAGTGCCTTGCTCAAGGGCACCTCAGTCGTGGTATTGAAGGTGGGAGAGAGCGCTGTACATTCACTCCCCCCACCTACAATCCCTGCCGGTGCGAGACTCGAACCCGCAACCTTTGGGTTACAAGTCCGACTCTCTAACCATTCAGCCTGTGTTATACTTTCCGCATGAGCAATCCGGATGCGGACACGGACTACTTGTATTTATACTTCCGAAAGCATACGCTGATGGTCTGCTCCACGGATGTGTTCCATACATGCGTAGTAGATCGGCTTGAACAATAAACAAACATGTGAACAAAGAATTGCCCAGAGTTATTGCACATCTGGCTGTCTTTATATTGTTTTATCGACGGATTGTACAGGTTCGAGTAGCAACGGGCTTCTTCACACAGCCTGCGCATGCGCAGTAGCCTACTGACCGCGCGTACTTGTCTGCACGGTCACAAAAAATGGGAGGCACACTCTCCGATGATGATTTTTACGTCACGCATACCATAGCGGACCCTAGCGGACTCAGAAAGTATAACAGGCTTTAGGCCACGACTTCCCCAAGAAGGTACTATTTCATATTTTAAAATTCAAAATTTCACATTTTCAGTGTTTTTTTTTTTATGGTAGCATGACATCAGAATGACAATGTAACCATGTTTACATGTCAAATGCACATCACAACTGATTTACAGCACAATCTGATCACCCCTAAAATATCTATGCCGTATGTTTTGGCACTTTTCGTGCTTTATCTGTGTTTTTGAATGAAAATATATAAAAATAAATGTTAAAATCATTAAGAATTCAAAAACTCAATGGAAAAATGTAGCACTTTTTGACAGTATGTCAGTCTGTTCCCCTATAAACATCAAAGACAAGCTGCCATTAATTAGCATATCAATGATTTGACCCCCACAGTCCATCTCCACCAATCACCTCACAGGTGTCAGTCCTCACTCGTCTGGCTGCTCATCTGAAACTGTTTAAAAAACTCCTTCTGAGCTGTGAGTTCTGTTTGATTGTGCTGCTCACATTAATGATGGTCTGTGTGATTCTCAGGCTCTTGTTTTTAATGTTAAGTGTCTCTTCTCTTACTCTTATAGACACAGAAAATGTTCATGTGCAAGAAAAGCTGTTTTTAAGTTCGATGGGTCTCTCGAGTCGACCGAAACCGTCACATCAGGCTCCAGTGCCGTCTCTGTTGTGGGAAATGTTCAAGAAGGGCAGCAAACAGACCTCAACACCTGACACAGATCCATGTGTGGTGTCTGAGTACGGAGTCCGAGGAAATATTGTGAGGTTCATCCAGGATCAAGGTGAGGCCTTGAGAATTTAGGTTTTAGTATGCAGTATATTTCCCCATCATATGCCATATTTGGGGGGTTAAGAAAACTTTTTTTAAAGAACTTTTATTTTTTTTCCACAATTTTCACAATAAAAGTGAATTTTAAGTTGAAGTTATGCCATGTTCTTATGTTTTCCTTTCAAAAGCATGTTTTCTTAGTAATCAGTGTAGTTTTTCCATCATGTTAGTCTTTTTACAATCCAGTTTCTTTGACGTCATCCTCCAGGAAGTGACATCATTATTGCTGGTAGTATCAGCAGTGATTTTAATTTAATTGAATAATTTAAAATAAAATTGTAATTAAAAAAACAAAAAAACTTTTGGAAGTCTTTTATGCCCTTTTATAGAAATAACTAGGCAAGACACTACATACAAAAACATTTTTTTTCATGCATTGGTCAATTTTGAGATTTTGGCCTGTTTGGCTTTTCATAACTTGCTACTTTTTATAGTAGGAAGAAAACATCCAAAATACATCTTTAAGTTTTTATTCTGTTGAACTTTATCTACTTCCATCTGTAGATTTTATTTGCAAAACAGCTGTTTTCTCAAAATTGATTTTCTCTACTTCAGCAGCACTTACAAAATATCTACATTCTGAAAGTTTTTATAGCAGGGTTTGTTCAGATTTCATTTACCTGATTTTATTGTTGCACTTTATCTATTTGCATCTGTTGATTATAATTACAGTACGAACTCCGTTTTCGCGAAACAAGTTTCATCTCCACTTCAGCAGCACTTGCATACACCAAAATTTACAGTTTTATTCCTACCCGTATTCTGAAGGTTTTTACAGAAGGGTTTGTTCATATATCAGGCACCTGTTTTTTTTTTTGTTTTTTTACAACATTTAATTCTTAAATACTTGGTGACAGTGTTTTCTTATTTATGCAGCGATTTAAAAGAGAAATCCAAAATCCCCTCTGTAAATCCTTTAAATATGTCAGCAAAATGACATAGAATGGAGAATTTATCCAATGCTCAGATTTGTGTTCTGGAATGTTATGCAAATTAGCATATGTTTAATTAGATAATGCCTCATTGGCATATTTAAACAAAACATTTTGGGAAGCTTGTAATGCAAAAAAGTTTGCCGTTTTTAATGTAATCAGTCAACTGGGAAAGTATGGTAATATCTATAAATAATTTTTGTACCCTATTCACCTGTGGTGTCTTGCTTTTAAATTATAACCCTTTTTTACGTTATGTTCAAAAGGTTCTGCGGAACAGGAATGACCCACTTGCACCATAACACAAAGCTTGTTTTCCCCAAACAGGTAGTCTGATATCTGCTCCGGCTGTCCACTGCTTTAATTGTGTGAGAAAGCATCTGTTTTTCAACATGTCGGTGCTGGAGGATGTTGAGCAACTCTCCTTGCGCAGCTGGAAATGAAGTTCAAACAGGATCTGGCTCACCTGG